TATAATCCTGAAAAGGCACACTTGTGGAGCAACCTTTAGATCAGATTAGGGATTGTGATCTTTCTTCAAAACCGAAGTTAAAATGCAAACACATATTTAGCACGATGAATAATACCACGGTGGCTTGAAAGGGGGCAGCTGCAGTAGTCTCTAGAATGGGGAAAGTAGTTTTGAGCATGAAGACTCCTACCTTGGACTTTTAATGCCATCTGGTATTGAGATCATATTTAAAAGTACAGAATGCTCCAGGTCAAGAAGCAGCAATCAAGAAGAATAACTTTTGCAGTGTATTTTAAAGACCCTGCAGGTATAGTTACTGGAGGGTTTTAGAGACTGTATCGAGCTGCTTGGTTTTATTCTGAAATGAGTACTCTTACTACCTACTGCAAAGGGTCACACACATTTTGGTGCTCTGGGAAAGTGTCTCTTACGACATTCTGAATCTCACAAAGCTTAATAGGAAATCAGTGAAGGAAAGGTAACATGGAGCCAGAGCTGGGCTGAGGCCCAGGTGGCTACCTGCATGTTGGGTTGGTSATGGGGGTTGTGACAGGGCCATGGACAGGGGAACAGGGGCCAGAGTTGGCAGCACTGCAGCATCACGGGGCAGGGACCTGAAGGAGCTCCTTCAGAGAGCAGATACCTCMTATTGAGCTCTACGTTTAGTATAGTTCACACAAAGTTTAGACATAATGCTTTGAGGACTGAAGTCATAATAAATGACATTGTAAAGGTGCCTCTGAAGTAATGGGATACTGTTCAACAAAATATCTTATGGTCTTTCTGCAAAAAGAAATATTTCAGTTGAACATAATAAATAATCTTATTTACCTAATAGGCATTTGTCCTCTGGCTGATTTAGCTAGAATTACTTAAAAGCTAGCTGCAGTTCATTAKAATATTTTTGACAGTTCAAAAATATGATTTTTTGTTATAATTGTAATTTGAGTGGATTTGCAGACATAAGAAAAGTACTTTCAAGTGCATGTGAAAAGTTTCCTTAAATAGTGCTAATAAATTCTCTAGAATTATGCTACAGCTTGCCCTCTTCGAATCAGAAACTCACTACGGCACTGTGTCTTCTATAAAAGTGACATTTCAAGTGAAGCTCTATCAAAGAGCTATTGAATGATGAACACATCATATCTACATGGATGCATCTCTACCTGCTGCAATTACATTGAAAGAATTAAAGAATAAAACATGCATCTAGTTGGGGAATAGATTCTGCCTGAATATATGTATCATTTGGAGAGTTTAGTTCAACTGCGATTTAAATTCTTTTGAATTGACTTGAAATATAGATGCATATACTGAAATAGTCATTTCCAAGCCTCGAAGCTTTTAGCAGATGAATAAAGTTGTGAAAATAATATTTGTGAATATATGTGAACATATTACTTTAGTGGTATTACAAGCAGTATGAACTTTCATGATAAATAGGTATTTTAAGATCCTTTTGCTGTTTTATTTTGCCTTAAATGTTAGCTATATATGAAACATTTTGCTCATGACTCTAAAAAGAAAAGACTAACTTTTGGCTCTTGATCTACTACTTTTAATCTAAAAAAGTACCCTAGTTGTCAAGTGTTTGGGTATGAATGCTTGCATAAACAGATAACCTTTGATGGTGCTCAGCACTTCAAGTTAAGTTTCTTTTCCTCTTACTTCAATATTGATTGAAGAGCTAAATGCTTTCTTCAGCTAATAGAAGACTGTGATACCTACTTTTTTGAATCTTGTCCAGGGTCATGATTCATGTAAACAAGGCTTATTTGTCTTGCTATTTTGCGAACAAAATTAAACTGCTGTGCAGGTCTGTCCTTCACTGGCATGCCAACTCTTTCAATGGAATTAACAATGGAATTAATTCCCCTTAGTGCCTTTATTAGATTTGTTCAGTTTGTTCCTAAACGTGAAGTTCAGTTCAAGAGAAAAAACAGGAACAGAGGGGACCTTTTCTTCTATGGCTTTGTAATAACAGTCTGGAAGACGTCGTGTTGCCACAGTCACTTAAAGAAATTCTGTGTGCCATTCTGAATAAAACATTTGTAGTGCTGGGACTTCATGGGGCTGGATTTTCCGGGAAACAGTTGGTTCCTTCCAGGCTTTTTTCTGGTAGGATCCAAGATGCACTTAGTTCTCCCAAAGCTAAGGTACAGTTCTGACTCCTGAACACTTGTAAATTAAGCCTTGGAAGATGAAAGAAAGTCACAAAATCTAAGACGAGCATTCAATGTGAAACTATATCTTAATATATCTGAGCAGAGAGAGTTTCAAGAGCAGCTTCAGTACTAGATAAGGAAGGCTTCACAAGAACTCTGTTCAAAGAGCAACACAGGCACATGAAAAATTAGTATATGGATTCTCCATTCCAAGAGAACTAGAAAAAAAGAAGAAAAAAAAAAAGATGGTGTCTTTTGAATTGTATTTGCTTATTTACCATTTTACACAACTCCTAAGCTCAGTTAGAGATCTAATATCCTGCCACAAGTTTCAGRAGCTCTGTTAATGCACAGAATCTGCCTTTCTTATGCATTTACAAATGGATTGTGGTAAGTTCAGTTTTCTTCAACATACCTAAAATGAGCAATACAAGACAGGTTTTTATAATTTAAAACCTGCTTTCTCTGTATTTCATCTTTAATCCCTTTACGTAATGGCATTTTTCCTCATGTTACTAGATGTTGGAGTACTAGAGACAGAGTCTAACAGTAACAGCCATAAATTTTTCTGCAATCAGTTTGAAGACAAAACCCCTTGAACAGATGTATGGGAATTAGATTTGTGTGTTTGCATGAGTTAGACCAGATAGACTGCAAACAGCAGTCATGCTTGTTGTGGGGCTAGTGTTGCTTATGCAATGGATGATTTTGTACCTGGTTTGGTGGCCCTAGGTTCTCAGGAAGAGTGTGAGGCTGGGACAGAAGTAAAGAGGCAAGCCTAGATGCTTGCAAATTTGTCTGGATCCGCACAGATTTACCAAGGGCTTCTGGAGTGGGCCTGGGCCTGTGGTCAGAGGTTCTTGCCTATCTCTGCCAGGGCCTGTTGGGGAAGCTGTTGAGAGAGGCAGCGGGGTGGAAAGAAAGCCTTTTCTTGTGAGGTAGTTGGTCATGGTGAGGGCCAATGTCTCATCCTGACTTGCTCTCCATTCTACATGGCCTAAGGGTCAGGCTCTGCCGCAAGCTCAACTCACCTGCTTGTCCCTTTCCCAGTCCTGACTTCAAGTGTTTCCGCAAGCCAAGTGATCCTTCACAAAGTTAGCCAAGCTGGGTGAAAGAGGCTGGGAAACTTGACCTCTAGTTTCTCAGGAAGGCATCCCAAACACTAGCACATGCTGGGCTTTGGGACTCCTCCTTTTCCTGGGGCAAGMTCTGGCATAACTCTGGTTCACTGTCCAGACAGGCCATCATGGTAGGGGAGAGATCTGGGCTGTTGTGGGCAATAGTGCTCCCTGATCATGATGATGATGAGAGTGGTGAGAGGTTCAGGGGTCTCCTAATGCTGGTGTGTGCAACTGTCAAGATGGTCTGCTTCTGACTCATCTGTTTAAGGACCCTGTGGGAAATGCAGACTTTACACAAGACCTCAATAGTATATTTTCTAATGAAGCTTGAAATTTGGCATGAGTCTATTGCAAATGTTTATCTTTCCAGTGCTGAATGTGTCTTTTCCTTAAGAATTGCTTCTCCATGCTCAGAAAGAATGCAGTTAGCTTCTTATTGTACACTATTAAATAAAAAATATTTTTGGAGAGCTCAGTCTGAATGTGGAGATTCTGCCTACAAAGAGTCACAGCGGCCTTTCTYACAAGGTGCCATAACTTCTAGTGTAGTGGACACCACTTCTTTTATGTATACCAACATTTAGGGAAGGAGATGGAAAATAAAGTTTAGAGGAAAGGTACTTTTGGTGGATATTTCATGYCCCTGTTCCATATATCCCGATTCTTTTGTGTGTGTGTGTGTACCATCAAAGTAAGTTCTTCTATTTAGCTATGAATTCTGAAAGGTTTTATCTTTTCCTCTCCCTCTTGTCCTAGCCATGCTTATAGCTTTCTCACTGAATATCCTCTTTCTGACCCAGCAGAGTAAGTCCCTTCAATTTGTGTGAGGTTAATTCTTCATCTGATCTGGACTGGCTCAGAAGGCTGTCAGAAGCCCTTTATTTTCTTACCTTTCTCGTTGGGATTATTTTGGGATTTTTTTTTTTTCTGTGAAAAACATTCTTTAAGTGTTTGTGAATTTTGTATTATTTTGGCAGAGGCAATTCAAAATTTTTCCAGTAGCATCCTAAGAATTATGAACTGTCTTACAGTATTTGGGCTAGCTGATTCCTTTTCCAGGTCCCTGACTTTTCTGAAGTTGCCTTCCTTTGCCTTTTAAACTTCAGAACCTGTCTTTGCTATCTGCATGAATTCATATCAGAAAGACTTGTTTTCAGTCACTAAAAACAGTCTTTAAATAAAAATATCTTTTTCTTTTGGACTTATGYTGCAAATGCTATTTTTGTTACTTAGAGCACACTAATTGCATAATTTTATATTCAAAGTTTGGCTTGCACTAATTGCCTAATTTCAAGGGGACTAGATGTAAAAGAACAAAATAATGACATTACTCTGTCAGCATAGTCCAAATACATATCTGTATTTACTGCTTTCTCATAGATTTATTGTAAATTTGCAGTTTAGAAACAAGAATTAATTTCATTATGATTTAAGTAACAGATTCTTACAGCAGTATTCACCATAAATTGGAACTGCTGTTACAAAATGTATTGGCATAAACTCTTTAATGTGTAATGCAATACTTTCTGCAGAAGGTTTACGCTTGAGTTTTTCTGAAATGATGCAAGACAGTTAAGTTGCCACTATTTTTGGACTGTTACATTGAACTTAACAGTAGAATGAACTTCTGCAATATGTCTGGAAGTCTGGTTGGCAAAGATATGTGGACATACCTAGTTTTATGTATTCTTTGGTATCTCTCTGGAAATCACTGGCATTTACCCACAAAAACAGCATTATTTTGGATAGAATTACTAGCATTTTCAGCTCTGCAAATTGGTGCTAAAGAGCACTCCATAAGCATCCTTCTGTAAGATTCATTTTTTCTTAAGTGTTTACCAGTTCCAGTTTGACCTGGTACAACAGAACATCTTCTTAAATGTACTCCGTAATTCTGGGCTTCGGAATGCATAAATCATGGGGTCAATGATTGCATTGCACATTATGAGTGTCCCATTCACGTGGAAAATGGACATGTAGCAGGCACAGTATGGATTATGTGGGCAAAACCTTGCTAGAAGAATGTGAAGAACAAAGGGGGCCCAACAGCAAAGGAAAACTCCAAGGAAAATAGTCAGTGTAATGGCTCCTTTCATGTTAGTTCTCTGATGTACTGCACTGGTGGGCAATGTAGCAATCTTCTTAGCATGAGATCGAGCCAGGAGAAACATATGGACGTAGAGGCACAGTATGAAAAACATCATTAAAGGGAACAGAATGGTGAAGGGAATGACTGTAGCTACCTCATAGGAGAAGAGAGAGATGGCAATACTACTGCCAGCGCAAAATGTCCAGATGATTGCCAAGATGACCAAGGCTCTTCTCAGTGTCATGATGTTATGGTACCGTAAAGCATAGAAGATGGTGATGTATCTGTCTGCTGCGATAGCTAACAAGCTGAAGATTGACCCCAGTAAAGACAAAATGAACATGGAATCCATGGCATCGTCCAGCTTTTTCTCGAAGTCCCCGCGACGCGTCAGGTACCCCATTTTACACAAGATAATAAAGATGTTCTCCAGAGTTTTGTACAAGCTGCCTAACATGTCTGAAATGGCTAAACTACAAATAAAAAAGTACATAGGCAAATGCAGATTCTTATTCCTGATGACAGCAATAAGGACAAGCAGGTTTTCCAATATGCCGACAGCAGCAACTGTGAAAAAAACTTCTTCTGGTACCACAACCTGGGTGCAGTCAGTAATATTTAAGGAGAAATCACTTATATTTTCCAGGGCAGGAATGCTTGTCTGCCCTAGTTGTTTGATTATGTTGARAGGCCTCTCAGTGCTCATTTCTTGTACTCACAGGAAGATTCTGGATTGTTTCTCAGGCTTGTTTTTATTCTGAAGTTCTCCTATCAGTCAGATCATCCTTCTTTGATGAAGCCCTCTTAATCTGGGGTAATCCTAAGGGTTAACTGAAAAGTTTTGGATTTCTCCTGTAATTAAACACATAGAAATGTAAATATAAGAATGAAAATTCCCCMAAAAATGTGTCAAAAATAGACATTTAAAATAGCATTGATTGGAACAGAAGGAACATATATGATCACTAGAGAGAGGAGAGAGGCAAAATTTGTTTGGACAAAGTAAGAGTTCCTCTAAGCTTCACAGAGCCTCAGAGGAAAAGAAAAGGCAAATCGCTCTTCAGATTCCAAGAAGTTTAAAAAAACATGCATGAAGTTCTATTTAACCAATGAACATCCCATATTTACTGGGACTTATCTCAGAGAAGTTGAGAATCTGTCAGTCTTTACTGATCCAGCTGTTTTCTTTAAGTTGGGCATTTATCACATGATTTGCTGTATTATTAAACATAAATGACACCAATGCCAAGGGAAGTAGGAGTGTATTTACTATCACACAGATGACAGTGAAATGAAATGCCCTTAATTTAAATGTGAACATTAGTAAATACTGATGTTTTCAGAGGCAAGTAAGATATTACTGAAAAAGTGTCTCTACTGAAAAAATGCATATTGAAATTTTATTTGATTTGATGAACATACTTCTAATGCAGCTTATCATTCAAAAGAAAACTTATTCTTGGCTGTGTTTTACAACTGTCTAAAAGACTAAACAYTCTACTTCAGCATCAAGATGATCTTTCCTTTCTCCACAGTACTCTTGATTTGAATTCCATTAAAACACATAGGAATCATTCCTAAGGATTAGGCTTTTAAAGTTATTCATTAATGTATAAAGGAATGTAATGTTAATTTATCTTGGATATTATCCATAGACAGTAGCACCTACATTTTCTGTTCATTGTTATATCTCCATTTGTGAAATACAAGCACAGAAGYTATTTGAAACTTTTCAAACTGAAACACTGATTTTTTTAAGAATTGATTTTTTACCTGTTTTAAGTTTCAAACAGCTCTAATTGTTTAACATTGTCATGCCTTTAAGTATTGAGATTCCTTTATACATTTTTTTATAGTGAAACTTAGTTTTCAAAGAGAAAACTTAAAAGTTTACTTCTGTATACAAACAAATCCCTCTCTAAGGGGAGAGTTATTGAAAACGGGCACAGCTGAAATGCTGCTTGAATATAATTATCCCTCTTGTACTTGGGAGCCCAGAACTAGACACAGTACTCCAGATGTGGCCTCACCAGGGCTGTTTAGAGGGGGACGATCACCTCCCTCGACCTGCTGGAGAAGCTCTTCTTAATGCACCCCAGGATCCCATTGGCCTTCTTAGCCTCGAGGGCACACTGCTGCTTCATGTCAACTTGCCATCCATCATGATGCCCAGGTCCCTCTCTGCAGAGCTGCTCTCCAGAATGTCAGTCCCTAGCCTGTATGGGTGTGTGGGATTATTCCTCCCCAAGTGCAGGACCCGGCACTTTCCCTTGTTGAACTTCATGAGGTTTCTAACCGCCCAGTCCTCCAGTCTGTCCAGRTCCCTCTGGATGGCAGCGCAGCCCTCAGGGCTATCAGCTACTCCTCCCAGTTTGGTATCGTCAGCAAACTTGCTGAGGGAGCACTMCATCCCTTCATCCAGGTCGTTAATGAATACGTTGAACAGACCGGACTGAAGACTGACCCCTGTGGGACACCGCTAACCACAGGCCCCCATCCGACCTCTGCAGCACTGATCACCACCCTGAGCCCTAGCATTCAGTCAATTCCTAATCCACCTCAGTGTCCACTCATCTATCCCACACYTCCGGAGCTTGCTCAGGAGAATGTTGTGAGGGACGCTGTCAAAAGCTTTGCTTAAGTCCAGATAAATGACATCCACCGTTCTACCCTCATCTATCCATCCAGTCACTCCTTCACAGAAGGCGATCAGGTTAGTCAAGCAGGATTTCCCCTTGGTGAATCCATGCTGGCTACTCCTGAGCGCCTTCTTCTCCTCCATGGATCAGTATCCTCAGTATCCACGTATCAGTAACCTCAATGCATCCTAAAAGGTAGCAGAAAGGAAGTCTCAGAAATACCTGTGTGTTTGGATGCGTATTTCCACTGACTATTGAAATAAGAGCCAAGGTCTTTCCGCATCAAGCTATAAAGAATTGTCATGCAAAACCAAAGTATGTTGTGTTATCTCTGTTGCACTGCCATAGACAACCTGGATGTAATAAACTTCCTTTCCACTGTCAGTACCTTGCCAGTTTGTTTTCTTATTATATTGTCCAGGTAAAGAATTCCCATAGATAGTAATATATTTCCACCAAAACCTGAAAGAACTCACATTTGTCTTTGCAAGTATCTGTATGCAAAATCAGCATTCCACAGCTAGTGCTTATATGTCATTATTGTTAAAAACAGGATATGAGATTTAATAATAAAAAGGTACCTTATGCTGTGATCTTTTTTTCTGGTAGTGGCTGAAATATTTTCTTTTCACCTTTCTGGAGGTTGTTTACAGTCTAAACAAATTTGCCTGACTATAGCAAGAGAGGTCTTCTTAACCTTTTTAACCAAGACCTCTCTTGCTAACCCAACCAACTAACCAACCAGTCAACAACGATAAGAACAAAAGCCTGAATGACAAAAAAGACTCTTGAAGTCTTTTAAATACTCTTTAAGTAATTTAGCTATCAATATTGCAAAAACAATAAAAAACTCAACCCACTCTCATTCAGAAGAAAACATTGGAAAATGAGTAATAGGATGGTGATAATAATGGAGTTGATAAAAATGCTATCATATTATCAGCAATATATGATTTTAAACTAATCTAAAGCAATAAGAAGCAGGAACTAGGGAAGAGGAAAGTACTATCTGGAAATATACTGACAGTATTGTACAAAGTTAAGRAAGAACTACAACTGTGAGTACTTCTTGACTGTACCCATTCCCTCTGATTATGGTTTGGCTCTCCAGGCACTCCAGCCCCATTTCGACTGCCGCATAGTGCACAGCTAAAAGTGAGTCCCAGGACTTCAGTTTGTGATTATGCTGAGAAGGCCTCAGGAGCCCTCAGCACTGTGTGGGATTAACATCAGACATAAGGCTTAATTCCCTTTCTTCTGCCCGTGTCTACTTTGCCTTATCTACTGATTAGGAAAATATAACTTACTGTGCAGGAGAGCTGCATTGACTTAGATGCACCTGAAAGATCTGGGGATAATCAGGTCTGCATTGGATTTATTTTTTAATTGAATAAACATTTATTCATTAAACAAGTAATAAATATACTTCCCTCAATCCCAGAATGTTAAGTAAACTGGCCTGGCCAATGTTAGTTGCACCTAAAAGCAGTTGTACCCATGGGATATAGTGATAGGAACTCTTGATACAGTAAAGAATTTATATACTTTAAATATTGTATCACTTGCCAGCTTTCTTTGCCATTCATTTTTTAGTGGAAAAACATGTCTCTCCTTGTTAAGGAGACTGCAGCTGTATTTGCTCTCTAAACAGCTGGCCTCTCTAAACAGCTGGCCTTAAGTAAAGACTGAAAGGGTATTGAGTAGTCCCTTCTCATTTTGGACTGCGTAAACCAGTTTTGATAACTTGCCAATTATATAAAGATGATGACTTGTTTCTAGACTTATGATTTTTTTTTTTTTGGCAAAAAACCCCAATATATTATAAACAAAAAGAATAATAAGTGCTGTGTTTTTGCAGAGACAGAATTCACACAGTATACTTTACAGTACATTCAGTATATACAGAGGTACTTCTTGTCACTTAAAGTCCCACAGCCTTGCTCAATCTAAAAACTCACTGTATGTTAACAAATGTCTTCTCATATTATCCCAAGCAATTCATCCTCTAAGGTACTTAATGTAAAATCTCTCACTGTCTTAAAAAAAGCACCTCTGTCATGAGGGCAATTGGAAATTCGTTCACTTCAATTCTCCTTGTAAAATTCATATTTTTTTGGTATGGTTCCTATCCTTTTGGAGATAGTTGGACTAACTGTGGGTAATTATCCATGCAGCCTGTTGTGCTTCTTAGGATGGCCTTTCTTACCTGAAAATGACAGCACAAAACCCATGTTCAGTGGAAGGGAGCCATACACACCCCCAGTGACTCCTTTTTAGCCATTACAATTTTTATAAACGTACTTTTGATAAAAACAATGTATAATTATTTGTTTCTTGTTTCCAGCATTTTGGGTGCAAGACATTTGAGAAAGGTACATTCCAGTTAAAATCGTTGCTGTGGAGTTTTAGTTATTAAAGCTGCARAGCAAGTGAAATGACAAGAATATATTTTTCTTAATAAACTAGGTGAGAAATGGTTTTGCTGAGGGCAAAGGGGACTGGAGCTACTAAAGGAAGGTAAGACATGGGATCAGCCTGTTCCCCATGCTTATGCGCTAACAAGAAGCATGTCTTTTTCCTACTGTCTGGGCTAACGCTGAGTAAGTACATAAGTGGAGAAAGAGCATACAGATGTGGGAAGTACCAGAGTCAGAGGAACTACCTACAATCCTTGCAGGCTGCTAAGGGCACCCTTAGATTAAAAGACTCTTCTGATTGACAGTTTTTCTGGCCAGAGCTAGACTGAGAGTCAGTGGCYGGAGTCCTCAATGGACATGTATCACGTTTCTTTCTTTATCCAGAGTCTACCCTGAAAGTGAGGCATGCAGGTTAGTGCAATGACCGCAGCGCTCTGTATTGATATATCAGTTAGTTGCAAACGTATTGTCATGTGGAGTAGTCAGAGCTATAGGAGAATGGTACCTGTGGGCAATTTGCTTGAGGTAATTGGTGCAATGAGTTCCRACACCTAGTTCAGGTATACCTAACAGTTTAGTAGCAGCCCTTTGCCTAAAGTGCAACATGAATTATAGGTCCATGGTTTTAACTGAAGGTGCCAGGGGTACTTTCATGATTCTTCCTCTTAAGAAGAATCTATTCAAGTCCCTGTGGACCTTCCTTCTGGACTCCTACAGAAGGCCTTGGTGTTTCTTAGTAATAACTGAGAGGGTAAAAGTATGCATGTGATCAACTTTCTTTTAAACAAAACT